AGTGACTGTATAGCAGAGTGTTGAGCAGCAAGATGGAAAAGACTTGTATTTGATGTTTCCTGGGTTTAAGACAAATAGCTAAGTAAACTCAAGCATCTTCTGTGAAACTGCTGCTGGCAGACTGATTGCTTTCCTACTTCATCATTAGTGAGTATCTCTGCCAGTTAGTTAAATAACTAGGTCAGCCTGGGAAAAAAACCCAAGAAAACATGTTCCTTGATCTTCTGTGCTGTCCCTCCTGTTTTCCCATGTGTTTCTCTTTATAGCCCATTTCTCAGCTACCGGAGATGAGAGCCTGTTTGCGTTATCAAGTGCAGAGCTGTGGAGAGGCAGGTACCTCTGCCAGCATGGCAGGGGAGGTGGGAGCACAGGACTTTCTCTCCAGGTGCCTCAGAGGCCAAGGAAAAGGCATGCTCATGTGCTGGTTGAGGGTTTCCCCACTGCTCTTGACTGGGGTGCGGGGGACAGTTTGCAAAGCTGCAGCATCACACCCTCCCTGGGGAGATGCTGGAGAGGGCAGGGAGCAGGACTTTAGGTACCCAGAGCCTGCTTTGCTCCCTGCCCAGCACCTCGAGGAGACAAGGATGAGTTTAGATGCAAATCCAGCTCACAGGGATGTGCTCCTACTTGACAGGGTCTTTTTTTATTGTGCAACACTTTCCCAATGACAGACCAAATCTCCTTCACTGTGACCATCAAGCTGCCCATAACGGAGCCTCGATGATGGCCAGGACTTGGAGGAAGCCTGTGCTCCCTTTGTATGAATTCATATTGCAGTTGCCTGATGTGATTAGGTTAACTACTGTGAATCTGCATATGCTCTCAATTTGAGTGAGCAAATAGGGCTCTAGCCCTGAATCACTCTCTGATGTACTGATGAAAGAAGCAGTTGCGTGGAACACTCACTGCATCTGTCTGTAGTCTGCTCCTGACAATATCTCCAGTTTCACAGTTAATGATACAGACACATAAAGAACTACTGAGTAAAAACTGCCACGGATTGTTTCTTCCTTCTGGGAAAAAGTTCTTCTGCAAATCCTTAAATGATCTTGCCATGTAATATGGGAAATTATATATGATACTCAGGTACTTTTAGCCTTGAAAACATCAAAAGCCTGGAAACAAGAATTTTTACAAAAATGCAGGAATGAAAATAGAGCCTGAGAGTAACCTTCAGCCAAAATGTAAATTTTAACAGTTGAGTGGGGAGGCATCCCATTTGTTGCATTTCCCTACTGGTTTCTTTCCTTACATTTTTATTGGACTAGATGATCTTTCGAGGTCCCTTCCAATCCCTAACATTCTGTGTGGTTGTTGTGTCTGTCTTTAATCAGATTTTAGGTTTTTATAAATATAGCTACCTTTTTAAAGTCTAAATGTCCTATAATAAAACATTTATCAGAGGAAAAATTATTTGGTAATAGTATTTTCAGACTTCCCTCTGAAAATGAATATTGTATCAAAAATGTTGGGAGCATCTCTTATCCATTAGATCTTTGAATAAAACCGAGGGAGCTGTGCCCGCACCCAGGGGATCCCTCCAGCCTCTCTGCTCCCTGGCAGCCTGCACAGGAGGCACCAGAATATTTTGGCCAAAGTGCTGTACCACACCTGGAGATGAGATGGCAAATGGAGTTTCCCCACAGACAGACTAGTTCTAATAGCTTTTCTTAAATGACATTTTAGCTGCTCTGTCTCAGCAACGGGATTTATAAATATTTTAATCATTCGTGACCCTGGAGCTGAATTCCAGGCTGAGCTGAGCTATCTCCCACTTGTGCTGCAGGGGAGATGGGCTGACCCGTCAGTGCCCCCCACCCACGTTTTCTCCCCACCCCAACCCCTGGACAGCCCCACTGAGCATGCCCTGTGGGTCAGCATTTTGTGTTACCCAGGGGAGCAGTGGTCACAGGTTAATAATCAGGCACCCGTCAGCCCACTGTACCTAGCATGACCGATGCAGGTAAGTACTGGTGCAGATTTCACCTGTAAGTGAAATCAAATTGTCTGTGAAGAGGTCTTTCTAAAAAAATGGTGGTGGCCGAGAGGCAGATGTTCCTGGGACACACAGAACATCTCTTACGCCATCCCAGCAGAGATGGGAACAGCAGCATGCACCCCAAAAGGCATGGTGATCAGGAAACAAATGGGTAGGAAACACTCTGTGATTTTATTTATCCTTCACATTCCGTACCTCCTGGAATAAATGCAGGGGCTGAGGTTTCAGGATGCTTAGTAGTGTGTTAGCATGGGTAACCCAGCTACTGGTGAGCAGGAGATGGGTTGGCTCTGTGACCAGAGGGCATGAGCTAACTTACATTTGTGCAAAGCAGACTGCTTGTTGCAGCAGCATGGCTATCGATCCCTTGAGCTGGTTAAATCCCCCATTAACCTCTGCTGGGTTGTGTTTCTGTGTTGCATGCCACTGTGAAGAAGAGGAGGAGAAGGTCCTTCCCCAGCACGGCTGAGCCCACTTGCCAGGGCAGGAGGGGCACGGGCAGAGTGGAGGTACCACGGATTGTGGCTGGTGTTGAGGGATCAACTGCAGTGAGCACATTAGACCTGCTGCTTCTGCTGGCTTTCCCCATGTTAGGTAATCGATTTCAAAGGGATGGAGCAAGAAGCAAATATTATAAGGCTGTGGCAGCCAGTCCTGCTTTGGGCTAAGATGGAGTGGGGGGCTTCTCAGTCTTGGGTCTTTGGAAAGAAACACAGATACCATGTAAAATAAAAATGACCATGTTCTGGTCACAAAGAAATCAAGTTATTACCTCCCCAGGTAATAGTTAGGTACTAGTTAGCAGCACTTCTCCTGCAGCTGCTGAAGAGCTCACTGAAGAAATGAAGTCTGAGTGGCTACTGGTGTGAATGCATCTTGGGTTTTAGGTATTCCCTCAGCTACGCCTGCCCAGCACGGGCATGTCCACACCTGCCCCTGCCCAGTGTTGTGGGGTCATCTCTAAGGGAGCCAGGGCTCCATCACACACAATTGTTTCACAACACAAGTCTTTTTGAATTGCAGAAAGTACTTGGAAAGAGCGAGAAAACTCTGGGAAAATACCAAAAGTGAAGCAGAGACTGCAGCTTTTTGCAGAGGCAATTATTTTAAGTGAACTGCTTGTGAAGATTTTGCAGTTTTAAGTATCAGGTTGTGTATTTTATGCAGACAATATTGTTAACACTCTAAAAACTGACTGCTAAAAGCACCTGGATATTTCAAACACAGATAGAGTGTATCAAAATAGATACAGAGCAGATGGCCTGGCTCCGTGCACACCTTGCTGACCAGAATACTTGGGCAACACATACAGCCAAAATCTTGCTGTCTTCAAAGCTGATCAGCTGCAAAGGCAAGGGTTATCCTCGTGCTACCCTTGATCTGTTCGGCACTAACGCCCCTGTGTACACTAATTAGTGTATCCTAGAGGGATAAGGTACTCCAGGCTCACTTGAACTTGTTAATACCCCAGCAAAGCGAATCACCTGTTCTAGAGCTCAGGCTCTCAAAAGTCGGTTAGATTAAAAAAGCTGTGAGCTGAAATCTGATCTACGGTGGAAAGAGCCCAAAACACAGAGGGTTGGCTTTGCCAGCCAGCTCACAGCACAGCCTGTAGCTGATACACATGCAACAGAGTCTGTTTCTCACTCTCATTTTTACCTTGGACTCTAAGACCAAACGTCACCATTCTGTGGATTAATTGGGATGTAAGGCTTTTCGTGCCTTGTTGTGTGGTTCAACAGATGCGAAAGGGAATTGTCACTTCAACATGATATCAAGACTCTTTTTTTTTTTTTCTTTAGCTCATGGCAGATTACTAAGCCTGAATTCTTGTTTAATTTTAGTGTGTTAATTGATGGGATAATGAGCATTGATTATATGTGTTTTGGCTGCGTCATTGCAATTACAAGCTCTGTTTTATTCATGAGCCAGTCCTAAAGAACGCACTAGAGATCTAAGACAACTTAAACCTCTCAGAAAAAGGCTCTGAATTGTTTGAGTAATGACACTCTTAGATGGAAAATTAAAGGTTCTCTTTTCCCATGCTTTTTAAGATAATTAAAATCCAGGAACAGTAAGGTGCTGAACATCCTTATTCATTACCCTTCAGTAATTTAGCTTCTACTAAATGAGGAAAACATTTTAATTCTCTAGGCCATCTGTTGCAGTCTCCTTTGCGTGTCCTGTTACATAAAGTCTCATTCTGGGTAGTTTTAACATCAGTATTGTATCTTTTCACTAGGAATGATGAGCTGGATGAGGTAGTTGAAGTCACTGTCTATTCACAGACCACCCTGGGATTAAAATGGATGCTTGGTCTTTTAGGTCAAAGTTATCCTGTCTAGACACCTCTAGGCAAAGGATCCACAGAAAGGAGACCGTGCACAGAGATAGGCAGTGCAACAAGCTGTGTGTTTTCTGATAGCAATATCCATGCCAATAAATAACAAAGTTTGTCAGAGCCCTTCCAGTTCCTCTGATATGCGACTGCTCTGCCATATGGCTCTGCACTGCCTTTGGAAGCCGGCAGCATCCGTTCAGGTAGAGACTGAAGCAGGGGCTCCGCGCTGGAGGAAGAACAGCTCTCCCCTTTGCACTGCACAGGGGCAATGTGTATTAGAGCAGGAGCCTGCTCACCTAGGAGAAATGCTGGGTCAGGATTTGGTAAAGACTTGGTTTCTGACTCTGTCTGGAGGAGCAACTCACTTGATAGCTTGGGGCAAGTCACATTAGCCCACGCTAGAGAAGTTTCCTATTAAAATAATAATGTGTATAACTGAATGGGTTCAGTGTCTTAGTTATTCCTAATGCAAAGTTACATCCCTACAGATCTTAGAGGATTCAGCCTCCATTACTTTGGTTCATTTCTGTCAAATTCTCACATAAAATAAAAGCCAGGCTACTTGCCAACTGAACAGTGCTGCCTTACTGGGGCTGCTTTAGAGCGATGTATTAAGCCGGTTCTGTGATCACCAGGTAATGTTTACATTATTGATAGAGCATGGCTGCAAGCAGGCTGCTTGCACAGGGCAGAGCTTTGAATTCACCTGTTTGCTATTAGAGGAGTTGCTTAGAGATCACAAACACCCCAGCCTGGAGATGTGTGGCTGCAGAGCGAGTGTTCCCAGCACCAAGCAGTACTCGGTCAGTCAGCCAGCTCCTGCTTCCACCAAAACCAGCCCTTTGGCTGCAGCAGGCATGCCCAAGCGGTAAGTCATCCCTTTGTTCTTTGGTGATCTGCCATTTGTCTTGAAATTCATTATCTGGATGTATTTGTCTCTATCATAAGCAATCTCTTTTGCTGTGTGTTGGCTTCTCTGTCATTTGTTTCCAGCACTTTAGCAAAAGTAAACAGGATTTAATAGGTGCTTCTTGCAGATGTGAGTCCTGCTGGAAGTAAAAGCTATGTGTCTGCTCCAAACTGGGAGCACTAGTAAGTAGGGGATGACAGACCCCTCTGTATTTCCCTGGGGATGGGCTTAAACCTAAGAAACTTCCTGGAGCTCTTTCATCTCCTGAAGAAATTACTTGAAGGAAGTTGCAATGCCCTTCTCTTAAAATTATTTGATAAGCACCTTTAATAATAACTTCAGACTACTTGCTTAAGTGAAGAATTAGGAGCTGTGTGATGTTGTGTGCTGCTTGTAAAGGCCATTTTCCTTTCTACTATGAAGGAAAGCCAGTCTCCCTTGGGAAGCCCTGAGTTCCTGGGGGATTAAATGAAACAGAAATGAGCAAACCCACTCATGGAGAAACTATATATACACACATGCAATTCAGCAGGTGATAACTGTGCCTCTCTTCTCTCTCACTCCCAGCATACCTATAGCCAAGCAGCTGGCATCAATAAAAGGTAAGGGGACCCATTCCTTGCCCCTTGGGGGTTCAGCTTTTCTAAGGCCACAACCCAAGTGCAGTAAATTCTGTATTTAGCAGAGCTGTGGAGACCACGCAGACCCTCAGCCAGTGCAAGACAAGAGGGTCTTGTCCATCCCTGAGCAATGTGTCTCCTCTTCTGCTTGCCTTTCCCCTAAAAATCACAATCCAAATTACTTGTGGTGCCTGATGGTGCCTGAGGACTATGTATACAGTCTTTAGGATGTGGCTCAGGAGTAGGAGGGATGAATCCAGCCAGATATTCCAGCCAAAATCCCAAGTATACAGTAATGCTGAAGTGCAGCACTGATGCTTGGACACAGGCATTTCTATTCAGACAGGCTTCCCAAATGGGCCACATTTCCCCTGATCACGGATCCTGGGAGTCCAAATGCACCAAAAGATGGCCAGTGTGGCCTGTCCCCAGGGCCTGTGTGGCAGCTCCTTGCTGGGTGCCCAGGATGGGGGCAGACCAGACCTTGTGCTACCACTGCTGCGTGCCCCAGCTCTGATGGAAACACCTTTTTGGGGTGTGTTTCCATGGGACATGAGGCATGTTGCTGGCCCCCTCCAAATGAAATCTGAACCAAGTCCTCTGTGGGTATAAACAGTTTCTGTCTCATTAATGAGACTACACAGATTTCCACCCACTCAGGATGGTTCTGACAGATTCCTTTCAACTATATCTCAAATGCGACTTTTTCTGATCGGCTGATAACTTATTTTTTACCCCCCACCTAGCTCTAGGGAAAGGCTCAGACCTTGAAAAAGCTTTTGCTACTGTGGTTTTAGTGTACAACAACTCTGCTGACCCCGAGGGCAAGCTCAACAAAGCTGAAACCAAAAACCTGCTGCAAACCCAATTTGGGGGTTTCATACAGGTGAGTGGGGTTTGGGTGAGCAGGTGACGCTGGGCTGGCACTGGCTGGGTGCTTTGGGTGTGGGAATGACACCTTGGGCTCAGTCCTGCAGCTGGGTGGGCATCAGACCATGGGGCAATCTGGTGTAAGACTTCAGTGATCTGGTACAAATATCTTTGGTGAATTAGTTGCTTTACGTTGAGCCTGTGTCTAACACAGGGCTGAAGAAGTGGGGGACAACAGTAAAGCACTGTTGATGTGTCTGCTTCCATTTTTTTAAAAAGAAAGAGGGCAATTGCAAAAAAAGAAACCCCAAAAACCCCCAACCCCCCCTCAGACATTGACAAGAGAGTGCATTTATGAAGAGAAGAAACTCATTGCATTTAATTAGGTATTTGGTCGTTGCCAGAGCACTGACCCAGTACCAGGAGAGCCAGCCCCATGCTGCAGAGCTCTGTGCACTGGAGTCACTGCTGGGGCTACTGGGAGAAAGGGAGCAGAGAGCATCTCTCCATCGGTCACCCACTCATGGCATCGATGGCAGCTGGATATGGTGATAAACAGCTATATCAGCACTTGTGGCTCTGAAGTTCTTGCAGATTTTTTTTCCAGTAGTAATCAACTACATTCATCTCTGCCCAATTTTTGGTCATGACTAGGTATCTTTTAAAAAACGTATTCTGAATTCAGGTGGAAACTTAGGGGACTGGTTGTTCTCCTGTCTGATTGCAATAATACTTGTCTTGAGTTCCTTGGAATAACTTTAGAAAAACTAATGTAAGTGTGGACATAAAAAAACCTGAATGGGAAGATAGAAAATACATTAATTTTTACATGGGTGTCTTTCTTATGATACAATAAAAAAGGAACTTCATGCCTGATCTTTTTTTTTTGTTGTTGTTTAAAATTTTCCATAGGGTCAAGAAAACAAACCAAAATATCAGGAAATAATTTCTGCCCTGGATGAGGAATCAGAGAACAAAATTGATTTTGAAGACTTCATGATATTGTTAGTCAGTCTCACTCTAATGTCTGACCTGCTGCAGGAGATAAAAAATGTGAAAACTACAAAATGATCAGTGCTTTAAAAGAAGAAATGGCTTGGCATTTCATAAGGAAAGCAGGAGTGAACCACACAGAGGTAACACTGAGTGCCTGGACACCCTGTGCTGTTCCCTTTTAAATGAAATAAAGTCTTGTCCAAACTTAGCTGTACTCGCTCCTGCGTGGGAATGATCCCTGGATTGAAACATCGGTGCTCAGTGCCTCGTGTCTGCTCTATGTGCTTCAGGAGGGTACGCTCTGTAACAGCTCTCGGCATGTCCCAGGGTCCCAACACCAGTAAGGAGCCTGGAGCAGCCCCCAGCCTATCTCTGTGCTGGGGGAAGGCAGCCCATGCATCCCCAGACCTCTCCATCATCTCCTGCACCATTGTGGGGGGATGATGGGGAGATCGCTGCAAGAGCGTTCAGCCCCAACGCCCTTCGGGGCTGCGGTACGCTCTGTAACAGCTCTCGGCATGTCCCAGGGTCCCAACACCAGTAAGGAGCCTGGAGCAGCCCCCAGCCTATCTCTGTGCTGGGGGAAGGCAGCCCATGCATCCCCAGACCTCTCCATCATCTCCTGCACCATTGTGGGGGGATGATGGGGAGATCGCTGCAAGAGCGTTCAGCCCCAACGCCCTTCGGGGCTGCAGCCCCCATGGCCTGGCCACTCGGCTCCCCAGGGCTCTCCCAGTCAGCCCAGGGTGCTTCAGCCACAAGCAGAGCGATCCCAGTAGTGGGTTTCACAATTGACAGCGACCACAAAATCTGCTGCAGCCTTCGGTAAACACTGACTGCGTGGTTTCCAACCCACCATTAACCCTTCTGAAAGGAGCAGTTATTTATTTTTCTTTCCTCCTCCAGCTGACCTCTTCATTGAGCGATCGCTGTGGAAGGAATTTCAAGTCCAGCACTGGCAATGCATCTTTGGCAGTGCTGTGCTTGTGTGATCAAAGGGATGACTTTGTTAAACGTGTCAGTCAGCTGAGTCTGTTGTTTCATGAAACTGAGAAGAGGAGAAATCAGATAACTAAGAGGTGGTCCAAACTAGGGATGGTGGGGAAAAGGGTGGTCAATAATGTGTTTGTTTTGGAACTGAGTGATATTGGTTACCCAGCCATGGGCTTGGTTAGGGCCAGAGCCTCATCATCCTAAGAGTTGTTTTGATTCCTACCTATAAGGTCCTGGCTCAGAGACAACCTTTAACCCACTGTGACAACCCTTTGGGGCACAAAAAGCAGTCTCACACCCCAGGAACAGAATATCTTCTGTAAGAATGTAACAAGTCTCTACCGATTCAGTTAAGATGAGCAAGCCAGAAAAACATTTGAACCCTTTTCATTTTCTCTACTTCCTTGTCTGGAAAGGAGAAGACAAGAATTATTTAGCTTTGGTACATAATTTTTTAAACAGGAAGGGATCAAAAACCTTTGGTGTTAAAAGAGGGAAGTTAATGCCAGCTGAGTAACAAGATTTAACTCCTTGACATAAAAAGGCTCTTAGTGTTTCCAGAAGCTCAGGGAATGTTTTGTAGCAGATTTTGGTGCAAAGACATGTTGCAGTAGGAGGCTGGCAGACAGTTTTTTGAGAGGAAAAGTCTGTGTCTTTGTGCAGGATGGGATGGAGCTGAAAGAAGATGCAGTGGCTTTTGAAATGGAGCTCAGCAGGTAAGGTGCTGCTCTGAGGGGTTTGAACTTCAGCCAGTACATGGCCTGACCTGGAGGCTAAACATTCATAAATGGTCTTCCTACAAAGAAAAACTTGTACTAGCCAAGTCCCTTGCTGTGATGCTGGGTTGCAAGAACAGACAGCAGCAAACGTGCAACAAGAAGAGACAAAACCAGCAAGCAGCTGTTTCTGTCCCTTTGCTTGCTCATGGAGATGTCCCTCCTGTACACGTCCCACTGAGGGACTGGTGGCCCAGTGCTGCAAGGATGACTGTGAGGATGACTGCATGTCAAATCTCCCAGAGGTGGGATATGTAAGCACAGTGATGGATGAGGAGGATAGACGTCTCTTGGAGACCATCCCTTTTGGGCTTGTGTCCTCTGAGGAATAAAATCTTGACCAAGCATCCTGGGTCAAAACGAGGACTTACTCTTAATCATCCATGTGGGTATCACAGCTTCATATTGATAACGTGTCCTTGGTGTTGCTCAGTGTCTTCCCTTATCCCCTTGGGTTTTGGCCAGGTAGAATCTTTGAAAGCTTAAAAAATCAACTGATGCTCCTTTTCTGAAGTAAAAAGATGGATTAAATGTGAGAATCCCTAGAAATCTCTTCCCATTACTAAGGTAAAGAAAACACTGCACAGCCCTGAAAAGCTTGTTGGGGAGCTATTGGTGACTTTGAAAGCATGGATTTCCTAATATCCCCCTGTTACAAGTAAAAGCCAAAAGAAACAATATTGTGAAGCCAATTAAGAGAGTTCTTTGAAATCACTAAGGCCCTAACACAGTTTCTGTTATTGCTGAAATGTTTCTTAATCTTCCATGACTTGAATTAATGACTTAAGAGCCTTTTATCAGATCAATTCACTCTGTCATCTCATCGTATACAAACCTTTTTTGTTCCAATGCAGTGTGTTGTGCGCTAGCATCCACAGTCCCTGCCCTCCATCAAAAGCCCCTTGTGCTAAGCACAATGAAAATCCAAAGAAAGAAGCAATTCCTGAACAGCTCAATACCAAAGTTATTCAAAGGGTGGGGAAAGAATCGGAGGCACAGAGAAGCCAAGTGCCTTGGTCAGCACATGTAGCAGAGCTGGGACTGGATGCCAGTCTACACTGGGCTTCTCACAGAGGCTGTGGCTTTCCAAGAAGCACCGTGGTGGTTTCTGCAAGAGCTTCTGAACAACCTGAATGGGATGTGAAAGGCTTGATCTGCATCAGTCCTTGAAAGTCCTGCCTGATGCTCAAAAGCAGAAGGATGCACTTAGAAGAGCCCCAGCACCTTCTTATAGTTAGGAGTAGGCAGAAGTTTGCAGCTCGGCTGTGGAAGATGCTCTTTTATTAGCTCAGACTATTTGTGGCTGCCCTGAGCGCTCTCAGCTAACGGCTTTGAAGCTGATCTGGCGTAGACAGTGTGTCTGGCTGCATCCTAGGGGAGCTGGCTAAAAGCTTGCTTTAAAGGCTACTGTTGTGCTTTATTTTGTTCCTAGCTTGCTCCTATTGGAAGCGATGGGAGTTCATCATCGATTTCTCATAGCCGTAGCAGAGCCCACACAAGTGCTAAGGAGTTGAAGAGGCAGCTAAATTGATGAAATCTGCAGGCTCCTCTGCCTCAGCAAGTGTGAACATCATATCAATATCTGATACCCCTTGGAAGTGAAGGCAGCCTGAAGAGCAGCTAGTCAAACCTGACCTCTGTGGGCTTGGGGTTGGGTTGGGATTTGTGCAACTACATCATCCAGGTGTGAACAGTCACCCAGGGAGAGTCTGCTGACTTTGGATCTAAGTTTAAAGTCCTGTTCTGAAAAGTCTGAGTCATCTCTGGAGTTACTTGAGCTTTTATATGATTGCCAGAGGAGAAATGGGGGCCAGGGAGAGCTTCAGCCTCAGAAATTCTCCTTCCATTTCCAAATATCAGCTCAGGAAGGCAGGTTCATTCTCATACTTTAATTAGCACACCTACAGCTTCTCCTCATGGCTTCTTACTTCATACCTGGCCTTAACTCTATGGCCTGTTGGACTTGGAAAGTTTTGAAAATCTGGCTTTAGTCTAATCTCTAAGGTGCTTTCCCAGATCACAGGGGAGCTCTCGCATCCAGCCCGCTGACTTTCAGAGGGTGAGTCACAGCAGAGTTTTGTGTGTCAAGCTTTCTGCCAGGAGGGCAGGGCCACATGCACTGTGCATGCAACTTTACATAAATCTTTCAGGAAAAGGAAATATGGTCCCCAATTGTCTCGCTGTTATTACACCTTCAGCAAGACCCGCTGTCTGGGGCACTGGAGCCTGGATGCTGAGGAAACCTTGCAGGCTGAGAGACATTTTGCCTGTCTCCTCCTCCCTCAAAGTAAGTGTTACGTTACTTTTTCACTTAAAGTAAAACTTGCCTTGGTTGAAGACACTTCACAAATATGTGTGTGTTGCACACCCCATGGGCAAACTTTTTAACAGGACCTGGAGCGGTAAGACTGGGAGTAATGCTTTTAAACTGAAAGACAGGAAATTTAGACTAGATATAAGGAAGAAATTTTTTTATAATGAGGGTGGCAAAACACTGGCACAGGTTGCCCAGAGAGGTGGTAGAAGCCCCATCCCTGGAAATATTCAAGGTCAGGTTGGAGGGGCTCTGAGCAACCTGATGTGATTAAAGATGTCCCTGCTCACTGCAGGGGGGTTGGACTAGATGAGCTTCAAAGGTCCCTCCCAACCCAGACCATTCTATGATTCTATGTTGTGGCCCATGAAAGCTTCTCAGCACCTGCTTGGTACATCCACTGAAGTGGTTATTGCAGGAAGTCACTTTGCCAAGAGAGGTAGAGGTTTGCATCATAGCCCACCAAGGTAGCAGTTAAGTTGTGGCTACATAGTAGAAGTGTTGGAATGACTCAGAAAGATCCTGCATGGTGCATTCCCTTAGGAGCTCACTACAGAGCAGATTAAAAGCTTTGTCCCAGAATTACATTCTCTCCTAAGTGTGATAGTTCTGTGATCCACAAAGGAGCACTCTGAAACACATCCTGGAAAAAAGAAAATCTCTTTCTTTCAAGCTCAGTCAGGGAAGTTAGATAAGAAGTGATGGTGGGGTTTATGGCTTTCTGAACTGACAGCTTTTAATTCCTGCATTGACTTTTACTGCAGTCGGTGGTTTACAAGGTTTCCAGTGAAGCTGTGTGTTCTCTCCTCACTTTGTTCATCTGCTGTTCCTTCACCCTGCAAGTGTTTACAGCCCTAGTTCTGAGTCCTCCTCCAGCAAAGGTAAACAGCAAATGATGTTCAGTAGCCAGATATATCAGGCTGTCTGTCTAATCCCCAACTGCACAAAACAGCTGTTAGAGATGGATTCAGAGCCACGGGACTTCTCTTTTA